GTATGCTCTTGTTGGTGTCCGCGGCTCGTGCTGTGTAAATGTGCAGGACTCGCCCTCGGCGGGCTTCAGAAGCTGGTGGCCCTGCAGCCCTTGAGGGACACTTCTGAGGCCATTCTTGGAAGGAAGGATCAATAGCTCCCAAATGTAGGAAAAGTTGCTCAATCTTATGCACGAGAGAAATGTAAACATTTCTTAAAATAGCATTTTCCACACACCAGTGGCAAAGATGAAGGGTGGCCAGTAGCCAGGGCTGAGGAGGGTCTGGGGACACAGGCACCATTTTCTACATAGTTGGCGGGAGTGTCAGTTAGTCAAACATTTTGGCAGGAAGTTTGCTGATACCTCTCAAAATAAATGAAGGGCATCCTCCTCTAGGGTCTTCTAGAAATTTAGCCTACAATTATTTTCACATATGCTGTTTAAAGTGGCAAAATTTGAAAATTGCATAAATCACCCTTAGCAGTATAAAATAAATACATTATAGTACCTGGAATAACAGAAAAACATGGGTCTTCGATGATGAGCAGAGTTGAGTCACGGATGCTCCTGTGGAGCCATGTCTGACACCGAGTCAGGTGAAGGACGGTGTTCAGTTCTCCTTATCTGCCACAAGAAAACCTACAATAGTGTTGGCTCTGGGGGAGGGGCCGGTCCCCTCACTGCGAGGATGGCTGCCACGGTGCCGTGGGCGCTCGCCCCAGCCTCCGAGAGTAGGCCGGGGAAGGAATGCTACGGAACTGTGTCCTTTTAGAAAGACTAGGACGTACTGGTTTTCGGGATGAAGTGCCCAAGGCCATGCCAGCAGCCCCGTGGGCTCCCACTCCACCACATCAGCCCGGCGTCTGAGCCTCTCCAGCCAGCCTTCCTAGGTGAGCAATGACTCGTGCCATCCAAATATGAAGGAGCGTTAAGCCGAGGAGGCTGGTGGGACAGGAATGGTCAGAGAAGCCCCACTCAAAGTGCAAACGTTGGAAGTCAAGGCTCTGGAATGAATGTGGGGCACGCAGGAGGTGGGCGCTGGTGGTGAGCTGGGCGCGACGGGGCTCTGCCGGCACCTGGGCCGCCCCCATGGCGGACACGACGTTCTCCGCCCCGCGCAGGCCTTCTGCAGCCCTCGGTCCCCAAACCTCCTGCTGTAGCTCGTTCTCTCTGTTTTCGATGACACGTGGCCTTTCTGCCTTCCTCCCGGTGCCGGGACGTTCATTCTCACAGCGCTCGTCCTGTGGTGTTCATCTGTGAAGTGGGCACGCGTCAGCTCCCACTGCATGGCTTCTGGACAGTGGCTGTTACACAAACCGTCAGTGATGCTCATTCCTGCCTCATTGTCTCCAAGGATAAAGGGGATGCAAGGGTCACAGTCCTTACCTTCGACATGGGTGCAGATGTATTTTTAAGAGGCTAGTCAGCACTGTTTTCCTGAATTAGGTTCTCTATTCCTTACGTCCCAATGGAGATAGCATTAAGCCAGCTTTTTCCCAATATCCACGCTCCCTGAACTCAGGAGAGGAGTGAAGGAGAGTGCTGTGGATGGGGCAGACGTGCCCTCACGGCTGCTCGTGGCTCCTCCCTCTGCACGTGCTCTCACGCCGGCTTCACGGCAGGCTCCTGGCCATCAGTGACTCTCAGGACAGTGACCTGCTCTCGGCATCTACAAAGCAGCCATGCTCAACTTCTGAGGCAAATGTGATATGGAAACAGACCTCTTTAAAAACTAAATTCAAAGGTGATTCTTGACCTTACCCACAGCATTCCCCCCTCACATACTCAAGACGTGACAATGTTTCTAACAGTTTCATAAGGTCAGCTTCACGGGGTCCCGTGTTTCTCGGAGTTCTGCACTTAGCCCTGATTCAACACTGCCAAGCTCCCATGCGGACATTTCTTCAGAGACCTGCCAGGTCCCTGATGCAGGTGCTTCCTCACAGTCCTGCTGTCCCATGCCTCCTGCAAATGCACGGCAACCCCACTCCCCACCTGGCTCTGTGCTCCCCACGGCTCCAGGACCATGTCCGACCCAGATCCACTGCCCTCTCCCTCCGCTCGCTGAAGGGTGGGGTCCATGAACCTGGCCTCCCAGGACCCCGTTCTCGAGCGGACCCCTTGCTGCCCCAGCAGGGCAGCTCTGATGCCCCGGGGCTACGCAGGAAGACCAGCTCCTGGGAGGGGCCGGAGAATTCCTCTGTGGTTCCCTGCCCCAGCCTCTCCCCTCACGTCCTGACCCCGCAGTGTCTCCAGGCCTCAGTCAACAATGCCCCCCTGACTCACTTCTCGGGGGGCTGTCCACCCACCTCGGGCCCCTTGACCAGGGGTGTTAGTCAGGCCCTCCCCTCGGGCATGTGGGGCTCAGCCTCTTCCTCATGAAAGCTGCCTGGGAATGAGTGCCGAGGGTCATCAGTGATGTCACCACGGAGTAATGGCTTGCGACCCCCACTCCTGACCCCCATCAGCAAAGCCCTTCTTCCATGCAAAACCCTGGGCCACCTGTTTCCTCTCAGAGGGTCCTGTCGCTTGCTGGGTGGAGCATTTATTTCTAGAATTCTATTCCTATGGCTTCCAGGCAGGAGATCACAGCGCCTTGCACAGGTAGCCCAGGATTCTACTGCGGAGAGTGACCAGATCCAAGGAGGCTGGGGTCTGAGGGCTCCGCCCCCAGGTGAGCTTCACCCTAGGTCAACCTGCTTTCCAGGTTAGCCCTGCCTCCAGGTTCTAGATCAGCCCCACCCTCTGGTTCTAGATCAGCGCCCTCCCCCACCGGGTCAGCTCCACTTGTACGTCAGCCCCGCCCTGTGGTTCTAGGTCAGCACTGCCCCCAGGTCAGCCGCTCCTGACAGTACTGTGGCACGAGGGGTCAACATTTGGCTATTTAACTTCCCATGCCACTGATTGCTTCAAACACACTCTCCATCCTCTGCTGAAGACAGCGCTCCCATCTTGTACCCTGGCCATAGGTAACTCAGCCAACGCCCTTCTGACTTTGTGGGGCGCTCCTTGCTTCCGCCCTGTTGTCCAGATGTAAACAGCCTTGCCGTGGATTCCATCACACCCGTAAGTTAAGATGTCGCATCTGCATGGCACACTTGTGGAGGAGCTGGTTCCTGGGATGTGCCTGGACCTCGCATAATTTATCTGATGGTCTTTGAATCCTTAGCATGTAGTTCAGGAAGATCATCATGTAGCTGTCTGATAAACATGAAAGTTTCCTCACGGAGGGTCGGGCTGATGATCACCCAAGAATTATCTTCCTTGTCGCCTTAATGAGTTAGAAGGTCAGGCATTCCGGCACGTTCTGAGGTTGTGACACGTGTAGGTTTCTACAGGCTGTGCTACGGAGGGAGGGGGACCTTCGTGAACCAGTAAGGAGAGTGCCACTTCCTGCTGACCAGGACTCCGTTCTAACCACGGCATGCTCTGTGGCCTGCCCTGTGAGAATGGACTAATGTCAGGGCCTAAAAGATGAGTCCCTTAGTGGGTGAGAGTTTTTGTAAAAATGCTGAGTCGTTTGCTTATGCCGTGTGGCTCCAGGCCTCTGGGCTCTGCACCCGTGGAAGTGCTTGGGATGAAGATAAGCACGGGGTGGACAGAGCTCCTGAGCCCGTCTGTCATGTGGGGTCAGAGGACAGAGAGTCAGGACTCCTGCACGAGCAGAAAGTGCTCAGAGCCACCCCCCGCACACACACGCAGGTCGACTGTGCACAGACCATGTTTCTACCACGGGGTCAGGATGTGAGAGCAGAGGCTGGGGCAGGGATCCTCGAAGGAATTCTCTGGCGGCTGTGGTGTGGGAGCGTGGGAAGGGGCAGGTGGATGTGGCGAGATGGTGCGAGCTCGGAACAGGGAAGGGGCCTCACCAGATACCCACGCTGCTGTGGCTCCTGGATCTTGGGCTTCCAGCCTCCAGGACTATATAGGAAGCACGTTTCTGCTGTTCAAGCTGCCAGTTTGCGGTGGTTCCTTATGGCGGCCTAAGTACACTAAGCCGCTGGGGGCCGTGGTCCAATGTCACCAGCTTATATTGTCGGTAAATAGACATATAAGGAAACTTTCCACAAAAAAATAAATGTTTAAGGACCACAAACACGACCCTTGGGGCCTGTCCCACATTGACACTTGGGACACAGACTGGACGGGAATGTTGCCGCCACGTCACGGAGCCACGAGACGGGCTCTGCCTGCCATCCCCGAACACTCTGTCTCTAGGAGGAGAGTCATGGCCAACGGCCTGCTGCTTTAGCTCTGCAAGCACGAAAGAGTGGACTTGTGCGGCCTGAGGGTCCAGGAGCGTGGTGTTCTTCTGCCTTCAGGAGACAGCGGTAAACAGGGCGAATTATGAACATCTCTCTTAGTAAAATCAGACAGGCACGCATCGCCGGGCAGCGTACCACCTCTCCACGCATGGCCCTCCAAGGACGACACTGGGTTTGGGGAAGACAGGACAGGGAGCCAGACAGGCAGGAGCAGGTGTTTACGGCAGGGCCCCCCACAAGGGCTCTGAGCCCCCACCTCTGCCCCCGTCGCCGTTAAGTAGAAGCAGCAAGTGAGGGACATCTGACTCCCCAAACCACGCCGTGAGATCTGCAACGGAGAGAAGATGCCACGACGGTCTCCTGGTCAGAGGCTGAATGATGGCAGTGCACACAGTAGGCACTCACCGATGTGCATTCCACCAGTGAAAACAGAGTGCCCAGGGCAGAATCCCACGCGTGGTTAGGCATGTGTGTGGGTGCACATGCTCACCTCACTTAACCGGGAGGATGGAATCGGCAGTGCCCTGACACTCTGGGCTTTCATCCTGCCGGTCAGCTGCCTGCCCAGGTCAGCCTTGGTGGCCGGCACGTTGTTGCTGACACTTCTGACACAGGCTGGGTGTGCGGTGAGAATCCCGGGGACGTGTGTGTGGGTGGGAGGGGCGCTGTGAGTGCCCCCCTTCCCACCCTGCTCTTGCTCCCCTCCCAAAGACGGTCTGAGCCGTGATTCCCGACGGAGAGGACCTCGGGCCTTACCAGGACCATGTGGCCGGTGGAGATGTCCATGTTGGACTGCACGGGCTCCTCGGACCAGGACGACGTGCTGCTCCGTGCGGATGGGCTGGGCATCGGCCCGTCGCTGAACTGGGACGAGACGCTGTTGATGCGGGATGCGTGCGGGGCCTCTGGGCGCTCCGACGTGCGCACGGCCATGCGCTGCCGGCACAGCTCCTGGGAGACAGCGAGGGCAGGTTAGTGCTGCCCCCACGGCCCACGGCCTCACCCCCCAGCCCTGCCCGACCTGAGAGCCGAGGGGCAGACAGGGGTCTGCCCTGAGGCCATGCGCACATGCACACACACACGCAGATACCCCACACATGCACAGGTACACGTGCGCACACACAGATATCACACACATGCATGGATGTAACACAGCCACACGCAGATACACCCGTGTGCACATACATAGTGCAGGCACCACACACACAAACGCGCAGATCCGGGGAAAGGGCACTGGACCCGCCGGGTGGGGACGCGGGACTATCTTGGAACGACGCAACGTGCCGGCTGAGCTAGCCGACTTTCCTTCCTTTCTAGAATACCGGTCACGGACAGGGCTTTACACCGTGCTCTGAAACTGGTACCATGCTCAGGCGTTCAGGAAAAAAACAACAACCTCTGTTTGGTTCTTCCCTTTTTTCCCCCAAACAACACCCGAACTGATGAGAGCTCACACGAGAGAGGACAGATAAAATCACATGGAAAAAGAAAGTATGTGGTTTAATAATGGAAAAGGATTTGCTTCTCTGCCTAGACCCCCAAAGACAAAGTCTCTAGATTTAAAGGAAAACCTCAGTATAACAGCCGAACAGAGCTGCTGTTGGGTCCCTACAGGGTCCTGGCCGACCCCACGCAGGGCGGTGGTGTTTGAACACGCGGGTGGGGGCGGCGCTCAGAAGGAAGGGACCCCAGTGTCGCCGTGCACTAGCTCCTGGCTGTCACCGGAGAGTTGGCTGGGACCGCCACCCCCAACTTCTCACTGGCAAAATACCTGCATCCTGAGCTGATGAAGTCCAGCCTTTTGCCCCCTGAAACAATCACTGTAACCTGAGCCACCAAAATAAAATGATAGCAAGAAAAACTCCGTAAGAGACTCTGAGCCAAGAGAGGAAGTAAAAATGCATTCACAGGGAAAGATGCTGGTGAGCTGCACGGCTGCCAGGTGCTCCTCCCTTCCCCAGGGGTGGCACCCGGGGGGGGCTGCACCCCGCTGCCCCCACCAGCTCGACACGCCCCAGGGCGCTGGCTAAAGCCCACGGAACCCTTACACGCGTTCCTTATCCTTCACGCAGCTGCCCTTCTCCTTGGTGTTAAAGACCTTCATCAGGTATCTGCCACCATAGAGAAAAGACCCCTCTCTCAGCGCAGCTCCCCTGGGAGGCACGGCTCGGGCGCCTGGAGCCAGACGGTGCGTACCACCCAGCACAGGTCCGCAGAGGGGCCCCTCCACCCGCCAGAGCAGTGGGTCTCACGGAGCAGGGCTGTGGGCATCCCGAAGAGACAGGTGAACTTCACAAAAAGGGCCGCCGTGCGGGCCACGGAAGGGAAGAGGGAGAAAGCCAGGCTGCACCTCTGCTGGGCCCCCAGTGTCCTCAGGGTTTGCTGGCTCATGCATGGTGTTCAGACAGCAGTTTTATTTAAAAAACCCAGCCAGATTTTCTCAAAATCTTAAAAACCAACCAACCAACCAACCCCAGACACGGTGGGTAATTCTAACCAGGTACGTGGTAATAGTAACCGCTTCTTTCCCCTGGATGCACGTGGGATGTTACTTGATTTTGGAGAAAGCATACCAAATGACGTTTCTGCACCAACTGCTATGGTTTCACATAGTTCATCTGCAAGAATAAATAGTAACTCCGACTGAAGCATAAAGACAACTCCAGCATCGGTCAGGAGAGTGCAGAATGTGTCCTCCGGGAAGGAGCGCCTTTGGGGAGGAAGGTTCGGGATGGTTGAGATTTTGTCACTAAGAAGCAAATGTCACACCAGCTAGGGTCACACCAGCTAGGTGACCGCCCTGCAAATGTGTGGGGGGATGGGAGGATGGCCACAAGCCCCGGATTCCCGTTCTTCCCTCTGCTGGTGGAGGGGAGTGTGCACGGCGGGCTCCCATGCAAGGTCTCAGAGCTCGAGTGTGTCCACTTGAAAAATGGAAGCACCAGTCTCGTTACCATAAGACGCCCGTGTGGTGCCCACTACAGAGAAAGTCTTCGGTTGTTCATCAGCAGATATTAGTGCAATAAAAATTAAAAATCTCTAAACCAGAACAAACTCTCAGGGGCTCAGTGAGTTCAAAGGTATTTCTAAAGAAAGCTCAGAATTTTGGAGTTGAAGAGGCAGTAATCGTCCACACAGACCTCCTTGTCTGACAGGTGACTTTGTGGCTGACCGGACGCGCTGCAGGGCCCCGTGGGGCTGCGACCTGGGGCCGAGCACTCCGCAGCGTTACTCAGTGCTGGCGCTCCTTGTAGGTCTCTTTAGAAAAATGAAATTCTTAAAAACAGAAGGAAGGTTCCAAGAAGAAACAGTCCCCAGCCTGTATCCAATGGCAGTGCACAACCCCCCTCCCCAGGCACCTTGGTTCGAGAGTGGCCCCCCGATAGCGTGGCCGTTGCCCGAGTGTAGCCTAGAGTGAGGGCACTGCTTGGGGAGGGCCCCTCACCTGCAGAGCTGGAGTGTCTCCGAGGCAAGGAGGCCCACGGCCTCCACAGAGAGGCCAGGCCTCTTCCGTCACACCCTTACACACAGGTAAAGGTAGGCGCCCCTGCTCGGGTGGACCTTGGCGTTGGGCTGACTGCTATCCCGTTTCTGCATAATGAGCATATGAGCCACTGAGACAAAGGAGTGTCTGGAGGCAGAGGTGATGACGGGTTTACTGACAGGAAGGTTAGGTTGGAAGCGGGTTCTTGGGTTTGAAGTCACTGTGCATTTGAGGCCTGTGAGGCCCCCACCTCTGTGGGCGGCTGGCTGCCCGTGGCTCTCTTTCCCGCCTTTCCCAGTCAGGGGGCTGTTCTGGGCTTTCCGAGGGCCAGGAGGGGGCCGGATGCCAGGGAGATGTGCACAGCGGGGTCTTCAGGGCTGTCCGAGCAGAGACTCCGCCTAGAAACTGGGGCTCAGGAGACCCGCGCTGTGACACATTTGCCTTCTCCTCCTCCTTGGGTTCCAGGAAATCACTCCCCTGTTCCAGCACCTGAGGGACAGTGCCTCACTCCGGTCCTGGCTTCAGCACCTATGGGCTGTGTGACCGCGGACAAAGCACCTAGCCTCTCTGAGTCCTGGTTTCCTCATCTGTGAAACCAAGCCCGTGGTTCCTGGGAGGACTGAGGAAGATCACGGGCTCAGAACTCGCCCTCAGCACCGCCTGGCCATGACTAGCAAGTACTAAGTCGCTCAGCTCTGGCTACGCGCATGAATCAGTCCCAGGCCCCAGGAAGGACTGCAGAGTAGGACCAGCAGGGCCCTGAGCCCCCTGCACTCGTGGCCCAGCCCAGAGCTCCCACGACGTCTGTGGGGTGTTTCAGGGGGATGGGAGCTGGCGGGCGGGGGTCTCCGGGGTGAGGCGCTGCAGATCTGCCGGGGTCGTCCGGAGGGAACGGAGTCAGCGGCCGGAGCGAGGGAGAAGAGGGGCCCCGCGGTTGTGCCCCAATGGGGTCAGCTGTCCTGGGAGCACGAGGTGGAGTGCCCGCCGTCTGTCTGTCTGGTCGGCAGTGCAGTTGTTGGCGTGGTTTTCTGCGCAGTTGAGGCTCCAAGGGAAGCTGCCATCCACAGCCCACCCGTGCCCACCGGCTTCCCAGGTGTCCAAAGAGAATTTCACCTGCCGTTTGCGCCTCCCTGCAGCCTGGCCGCTGCTGGGGCGCGACCTCGCTGACTGAGGTTCCTATGGGACCAGCCCTCCATCTCAGGGTTTGCTCCGGCAGCTTCTGTTGGGCTGGGGTCTGAAGGAGCAGCCGTCCGGTGACCCTGGGCGAGCTGTGTGACTTCTCCCGCCTCATCTTCCTATTCTGAGACGCGGGAAGGAACGGCGGGCAGGCCCCACGTCGCAGGGTTGCTGCAGGACGTCTCACTAACATAAGCCGTGGGCTCACGACGAGATGAGGGTGCCGGGAGCGCATGGCCCCTGCTCCGCGGACTGTGGGGGGCAAGCCCCGGCCCCCAGGGTCTCCCTCCAGGCCGGACACAATGAGGCCATGCCCGTCCGTCTGGGACAAAACCAGAGGCTCCTCACAGAAGCGCCCACTGGGAGGGGACACACACCAGCTCGCTGACTGTCGGGGGACCGTGGCTGGGAGCCCCCACAGGTGGAAACTGCATCCTCCTCTCTGCCCCGCTGCCCTCTCTGAGGAACCACCAGAGGTCCCTTTAATTAGCGCTTTCGGTTAATTATGGTTTGTAAAAAATAATAGAAATCCTGTATTCTGACCTGTCTCTGTGTTATTACTTTAAAATTGAAATTTCCTGAGGACAATCAAACTTTTTAAAAGACAAGATGTAGACTGCAACCTGACTCAGTTGTGGTCTGGTCAGGGTCGGGTGCAGGGTCAGGGTCAGGGTCGGGCGCAGGGTCGGGGTCGGGGTCGGGCGCAGGGTCGGGGTCGGGGTCAGGGTCAGGGTCGGGCACAGGGTCAGGGTCAGGGTCGGACGCAGGGTCGGGGTCAGGGTTGGGCACAGGGTCAGGGTCAGGGTCGGGCGCAGGGTCAGGGTCAGGGTCGGGCGCAGGGTCAGGGTCAGGGTCAGGCGCAGGGTCAGGGTCAGGTGCGGGGTCGGGCGCAGGGGCAGGGTCAGGGTCAGGGTCGGGCGCAGGGTCGGGGTCAGGGTCGGGCGCAGGGTCGGGTGCAAGGTCAGGTGTGGGGTCAGGGTCCTGTGCTGGGCCCACCCTCTCAGCAGAGCTGTCTGGGGAGAGGGAGAGTCTCTGCCCTCCCCCCAGACCAGGAAGTTCCAGGGCCTCTAGGCAACACCACACCCTTCATGTAAAAGTCTCATCTACACCTAAAAAGACAGTCGTAGTCCACACAGAGACACGTGGAGGCGCAACCCCTTTGCCCCCTTAGGGGATGGGTTGGGCATAAACACTTATTTAGAATGTAATTTGAAGTTTGTAGCATTAGTTCCCAGTTACCTGGAAATGCTATCAGACCCCAGCGCTCCCTGCCTTTCCCGCCCTACGTTTA